AAAGCCCACAATTAAGTGTATTAAGAAATAAGAGTTAAAAACATTTAAATGCTATGGATATATTCTGGAAAAAGCAATAAAGACTTAGTATTATTTAAGAGTATTCATAAAGCTGTCTCTATACACAACAGCAATCAGAGAATTTAGTATGATTAACAAAAAAGATGTATTAAATAGCAAGAGACTACAAATTTGGATATAGGAATATTGATAACCATAACTTCATAATAGTATGTTGTCTACTGTATAAAAGCAACTTAGGGCACCAGGAAGAATCCTGGGTAGCTATTCCGCTATTTCTATAGATATTATTCTTATTCTTGTACAAAAAACATACCAACTGTTTTGCATATTAAATGGGCAATTGTATTCCTATTAGTATTTGTCCAATGTGCATATACTATATACATAGATATATTGGGCATTTAGTTCGCCCTAATGGAGAAAAAATATATAAAAGTATATCTTAAAGTACTAACCACTTAAAAAATATGGTAAGTTATCAAGTGGTTTCTCAAATAAAGTATATACAAGGCAAAGTCTGCTGACAATTAAAGCTGTATTCATTCACAAAAACATAGAGAAACCTCCCTTGTGGTTTTTGATTTGCATAACTTTTATTTTTTTCCATCCCATTTATTAGTTTTGTTTTGCAGATCTGTGTTGGGTGTTTCTTTTAAGGTTTATGCAATGGCATGTGATTTGTTGGTTATTAATTTTATCTGTATTTACTGTGTTTTGAGTTGTGAATTATGAGTTTTAGATAGGTGGATCTGCAATTTCACTTCTGTTTTAACTGCTGGGCCCCTGTTCTTTTCTGTCTTTGCAGCATGACTCCAAGATGATCCGTACTGCATTCCATGCTCACCTTTGTTATGTCAGCTTAGGTTTGGAGATTCTCATATGTATTGGAGGCCACGTTTCCGATGTATTTCGATTTGAGTATTCAATGGGATTATGTCACGTGTAAAGCTGGTCACGTTGGATCGTGTGTCCTGGCTTATTCATGTTTATTTTGTTTGTTTGTTGTTTCCTGTTATTCTTTATTGTTCATCACCAAAGAAAGAGAAATGTCCAGGGGTGGTGCTTCTGATTATACTGAGACCTGAATGAGAATTGGCTGGGATCACTCCATATGTTATTTTTTTCCTTTTCTACGTGTGTTTGCTCTTTGGTGCTATTGGTGGACAGTAAAGGAATGGAAAAGCAATAATCACATCTGTGTCTTATATAAAGTCGTGACTTTTTGTCATAAAATAGCAAAATCATGTAATTGCTTACCCAGGGTGGTGCAGTAGACATTGCTTACCTAGATTTCAGTAAGGCTTTTGACACTGTTGTACATAGAAGGCTCATCAATAAACTGCAATCTTTAAGTTTGGATTCAAATATTGTAAAATTGGTTAGGCAGTGACTAAATGACAGACAACAGAAGGTTGTAGTCAATGGAGTATATTGAAATACAAAAAAACAAACTCAAACTCCCATCAATCCTGGGCGACAGCAACGACCATAGTACACATCAGCCCCAATACATACAGTAAAAACCAAGGAAAGAAGTTACCTGCGCTTTTCCAAAATCCCTATGCATATTTAAACAAATAGAGGTTATTTAGTTTCTCCAATGGCCATGAGAGAGTTTAGCCCACCTGCCACGTCATGGTAAACCTCTCAGGTGGGTCCTACACTAACCTTTCACCTTGACAACTTGAGCTTCTGGCAGAGATATCTCTAATGATAGGGTTTTTTTTTTTTTATATAGACCCCTACATACTTATTAATCCCTAATAAGGAACTCATGGGATGGGAGGCAGCATTGTAACATAGCTGTGTAATACAAAAGTGAATAATAAAAAAAAAAAAAAGCCCTGCGCTCAAACTCCCATCACTCCTGGGCGGCAGCAATGACCATAGTACACATCAGCAGGAAGCAAGGTGAATGGTTAGTGCAGGACCCACCTGCGAGGTTTTCCTTGATGTAGCAGATGGGCTAAACTCTCTCATGACCATTGGAGAAACTAAATAACTTCCATTTGTTTATATATGCATTGGGATTTGGGTAGAGCGCAGGTAACATTTTTCTTTGGTTTTCAATAGAGTATATTCGAAGCAAGGTATTGTTACCAGTGGGGTACCTCAGGGATCTGTACTTGGACACATTCTCTTTAATATTTTTATTAGTGATATTGCAGAAGGTCTTGATGGTAAGGTATGTCTTTTTGTGGATGATACTACATTTCCCTGGATAAACACACTGTTATTATTACACATTTTCAGGTTACTCAATTGGAAATTGGTGATAATTCCAAATGAATTTCAAATTGTAGTTAGTAAAACAAAACAAATTAAAAGCACAGTTGACTTGGACACATTTTCCAGTTCAGCTAATTTTACAATTTTGATGATCACTGTAACCACAAAAATTCACTTCTATGTTCATTTTTTATTTAGATCTGTTAGACTGAGAAATGTTGATCAGTTCTACTAAGCTCTGTGGCAAAAATATAATAATTTATCAGAATGTATTTCAAGAACATTTCAATGTGTATTTCTAAATAACATGTATCTGCGATAGGTCACAGAGTTCTTCACTTAACTGTGAAAATGGAAAATGTGTTTGTATGTATATGTGTGCCTGTATTTGAGTGTCTGTGTGTGTCTGCACGTGTATCTGTATGTCTGCAAGTGTGTGGGGAGGCGAAGATGTGTGGGGGCGGGGACATATGGGTTTGGGGGCAGACATGTGAGGGGAGGGGATGTGTGGGGGGCAGAGAGTATGAGGAGGGGGTAGAAGTATGGGGGGTAGATGTACAGGGGGGGCAGGGAATTTTTCACACCGGGGTCCCGTGGTTTCTAGTTACACCTCTGTACGCATCAATACAACCCTACACAGCAGCTGCAGCACCCATACATAAGGGAGGGCAACATAAATACATGTATTTAAAAAAAATAAGGGACTTCAAAGTCTTGTTTTAGCGCAGTGCTGCTCAAGGTTTGCTTACCCATGGTATAGATTGACATCAAAAAGTGTTAGGTTACTCATCAAATTTATGTCCAAAATTTACTTGGTCCAAAGTGAAGCTTTATGTCCATCACAGTAACCTGTCATGGATTAGGTTTGTCTGGGCATTCCGTATTATATCCAGATCCCAGTTACAATTTGGTTTGTCTCTCATGATTTCTGATCTGTGGAATTCCTGTTATGCAAATTGTGTTCTGTACCCTTTGACCTTGACTTCGATCAGACTATTCTCATTGTGAGTTATTCTACACTGTATATATATAGATATAAATATGTGTGTGTATGTGTGTGTGTTTGTGTTTGTGTGTGTGTGTGCGCGCTATTGCTTTCTAAAATATGTTACTTTTAACAGGCATGAATGAATAAGCTAACTCAAAAGAAGCATGTTTTTCTTTGATATATACATCAAAGTGAAGGAATAATTTACTTCCTGTGTTTTGGTTTGTTTTATTGCGCCATGTGCATTTTAGCGATCCAGTTAATATATTGAATAGATTATGAATATAATTATTCTTTAATCATTTTTACTGGATTTTATAACATAGAGAAGTAGAAAAGCTATTAATTTCTAGTTCATGTTTCTGTGTGTTTTGTGCCATGTTTCTGTCATATCAAACATTAAAGTACCGGTAATAGATAATGATTTGTTTACATTACTGGTGAAAATGCCTCTTGGCTATCTGTAGTTTGATCTAAATACAAAGGAATATAATGCATTGAAAAATGTGTGCAATATGTGCCAAAAACTAATTAATACTTTGGGTGCAAATAAGGTGATAACTTACATAGGGTTTGTCACTAACACGGTTATTCACTTGTGTGATAATTCAAAGTGAATGTTAAATTTAAGGTCAAACTTGCCAAAGTAGAAAAATTCTAAGTCATGCTTTTAGTTAGACTACTCTGACCTTAAGTTTGAAATTCAATCTGAATTCACTTTAGTAATTCTTACTTTAGTAAATAACCCTGTATAATGTGAGTTCCTGGAAATTTAATTTGAGTTCAAAGTAAATTTCAGATTTTAAAATGAGATAAACTGAAAACATGCTGAATGTTCCCATACTATTTTGGCTCAAAATTAGAAATAATTTGCCCAAATTCTCACTAGACACTGGTTTATTCACTAAATTCTGATTCATCATATTGGAATTCATTAGGCTAAAATAACTGATCTAGAAAAATTAAACAACTCAACTAAGCTTATAGTATTGCTATCTTATTCACTACAGTTTGTGGTTTAGTGAATTTACCACTATAATGAATAGCCCTAGTAGAAAGAATTCACTGAAAATCAGATTTTCTTTTTCCTTTCTGTTCTGAGTGCATTATTTTGGGGATAAATATTTTAGTTATCGGGGGTATTCAAAATTAATGCACACTGGGGACAGGGCCTGATAGCTGACCAGGACAGTCGCATGGTGCTGAACCTCCTCAGGGAAATCCCTCTATCGAGCCTAAAATTGGACTATCTCACTCCTGTTTTGACTACAATCTTGAGCCCAAACCTGGGAAACATTTTGCCGATCTTCTGGCACCTTTCTGCCCACAGCAGGCGGACACAACCCATAGTAGACTACCTGCGGCCTGCAGTTACCCTTAAACTTGATCCGAAGCATGCTTGTTCCGAGCTCTGTCCCCTCTCCCCCACCCTCCACTTTGGACCGGTGGGGTTTATCCTGGTCCCCACTGGGATTTTGGTACTAACACCTTGCCAAGATCTACCCAGCATTGGCAAGCCAGAGAATGGCGGCCAAGAGATCAAAATGGCTGCACCGCTGAGGCCTTTAGCTGTGGATGCCTCCACGCGATCGCTTATCTTCATGGAACCGCTACTGGCGGCTTTCGACCGCGTCTACGACCTATTCTGGGCGAAGCTCCATGAAAGGGGACTTACCTCAACTCCTGGCGAAATTGTAGCATCCTCCTGTACAGCACCAGAAGCATTAGCATCCCCCGCGTATCTCCGGAGAGGCGCAGCATGGGAGAAGGCGCAGGAGACTGCCACGACAGAGGGTCTCACTCCATCGAAAGTCGCTTACCTGACACTCACACCGCATGTGAAGGTACAAGCTCCTTCAGCTCCAGCGAGACTCACTGGATCTGTAGGCTGTCCCATCATGCTGCCAGGGAAACGGAACCAGAAGTTTGCGGGCTCTGGTTATCGCCAGGATTATTTTCCTGCGGAGGAACAACTCGGCCTCTCAGAGGGCTTGGGCTCCATGAGGAGGCTGCCTCGGGACAGCCGATTTTAGGGGAAGCCCGGCAACTGTTTCTCTAGGCATAGGTTAGGTGGCAAGGGAACATTAACCACAGCTTGGCTGATTTATTGCTGTTCTAATTATGCATGTTCTCAACAGCCATAGTATTGTCTATACACACCCAGTGTCATATGCCTATTGAAATTCTCTACAGCTATACAGCTCTGCAGTTTTATATAGCGTTGCCTACACTCATCTTGTATCATATGGAGCTGTATTTCTGCAACTTCTTTCTCTCTTTACTATATACAGTGCAGTTATGCCGACATTTCCGAGCTTTCTATTATTGCATTGACATGTATCTCACTGTGAAATGTAATGTCTGTTAAACCATGCACTACAAAAATAAAGAATTACCAAAAGAAAAATAATTAATGCACACTATGCTAAGGCTCTAGACTCTTAATAGGTTATATGAACATATTTCAGACATTCTACAAAGCAAACTTATCTGTTGTAATTTCCAAGTCTAGGCCTAGCCTAGTCTGTTGGCAGATTCTCACTTTTTTAATTAAGGTACAAAAGAAAAAAATCTGAAAGTTGTTTTATTGCTCTTGTAGAACTACTAGCAGAATACCGAAAAAGCGTTGATTTTCACGTTTCTTATTTTTTGGCAGGACATTTTGCCCATCCCTACTCTAAAAATTTGCAAAGGAAATTATTGGTCTCTTCTAACAACTAAAGCTATTAGCTCAGAATAATTCCTACCTTGTGTTGATCAATGCTGTTTTTTTCCACTAATCAACAATACAACCTATTAAATAACAACTACTTGTCTTATCATGTTTGGGTATCTAAAATCCATTCCTATGTTCAGAATGTGTGACTTGTTCTCAGGCATAAAAAATGGTCTCATCTCATGAAACATAACATAAATATGTAAATTAGTATAAGTGTCTTTGTACATAGCTAATGACCACTGTTAAGTTTGATTTTCTATGTCATGAAGCTGAGTTTTTGATGTCTTACAACCAAATTTGTGTTTCTGTATATCTCACAATATCACAATCTACAATAAATCTGCATCTACCAAAACAACAATTGGCAGCAGAATTTTGTGTTGTAGTTCTTGTACCCAATAACTAACTTTATATAAAAGGATGATACGAGGGGGCGGAGCATGACCTTCGAGAGGACCAGACGTGTAGTGCACTAGCTCCTGTATATTTGACCCTGCGGTGCTAATCCCATCAAACAAGCTGATTTTCCCACTAAAGCACTCTACTAATGTCGGGGATTCCCAGACAAGCATATTATTATCCTTTTCAGCACTTTAATCTTCTGGGAGCACCCCAATGCACTGCCTCTCTGCATCATCCACACAGCTGAAAAGATAACCAGTCGTAAGCAGCATGCTACATCTAGGTCCTCTGACTACCCCTGAAAGGGGAAGGTTGTGAATGTATCTCAGTCTGTGGACTAATGATGCTGGCTTTCGCACAGGCCTGCAAATATTCACATGAACTTCCCTAAACACACATCCAACATACTGTTTCAGGGGGTCAGCTAATCCGGGCTACAGGACCACTGCCTAAGATAAACGTACTCTAGTGGATGGCAGATGCCATTTTGTTTGCAAGATTTTTGATAAGCACTTTGTTTAAATTTATAGTTCTCTCTACTTTTTTATTTTTAATATTCTACTTGTGTGAAGTGATGTAAAAAATCCCAGTTAATAGTTTTTATGCAACTTAAATTATCAGGTTGTTTTAATACTCTTTTATATCAGAGTCTCGTATTTTTATGTGCTTGTTATTTGCTTTTGGGGCATGACAAGCTTGTTTGTAACTCTATGCACTGCAAAAATGGATGGACACCATCCCTAAATGATGTGATTAAAGGGAAATTGCCAAAATGTTATATTTTAATATAAAATGAAAGATAACATCTAACCAGCCTCTGTGCATATCTTTCTGAAATGCATACATAGGTAAATAACTCTTTTTTTTTTTTTTTTGTGAAATTCCTGGTTTATCCTTGGTCCATGAGGGCCGCCATGTTTAATTGCTCTTATGTCAGAAGCAATTCTTATCTGACTACTCAAGCAACCTAGCTAGTGAGCGTTCACAGTTCTTGATATCACTCACAAGCATCGGGCACTTCAAAAATTCCCAGCTATATTCTGCTCTTTAGTGGCAATAGTTCTCCAGTCAGAAAACTGGTGGTTCCACTAAAAAAAGCTACACTGGAATAGGCCAGGGGGTGCATTAAAACATTTATTTACTGCTCTACTACATGTAATATTTGATTTTAATTTATAGTATTAAAAAATGACAACTTTTAGTTAAACAGTGTGGGAAGCATCTATCTGACACCAGTGGATATGAGCTGTGGGCAGCAGAGTGAAGGACGATAAAATATAGTACTAATGCTGGCATGTTCTTAAAATGTAATATAGATCCAATTTGATCTTTTTTATATTCAGGGGAACTCAAATTGTTTCAAGTGCACTTGGAGAAGCGTGAATTAGACACCAGACGCATGTTGGTTATCAAGATAAGCTTCTGACGTTTATTTTAACAGTTCGTGCTTTTATACATTAAAAAGTAAGTGCTTATGTGCAAATACTCATAGAACAGTAGTAGGAAGGGAGTGAAATGGTGAAGGGAGTACAGATAAGACATAGGGATGAACGTCATGTACATATAACAGATAAGTTCCGGGAAAGAGAAGGAACAGACTGATTTAGAAGAGACAGCACAGGTGGGGGCTATCTGCTCCTGGAACTAGACATATATGGTCTTAAGTATCGTTTTACGCATTAAGCATTTACTGAGTCCAAGTTAGCCAATTTTAATAGAGGCTATAGTTTATCACAGAAAATAACATTAGCTTACAACAGTGACCATATAGAGTTACTATGTTATTGGAATTTACTGGGAATTCAAAGTGGATTGAGTGGCTTGAGTTAAATTGTAGGCCAAATTGCAGGTCATTATATACATTTCCCCAGTATGTTTATTTTGGCCTAAATTTGAAATTCACTTTGAATCCCAATAAATCACATTCTAGTCCCGGTAGAAAAGGGTTTTTGGAAATAGCCTTTAGAGAGTTCTAATACTTGCCTAGCCTGGTGAGGAGTAACTCATGAGAGTTTGCACCTTAGACTAAAAATAATCTGATCTAGAAATACATAGTTATTTAGCCACATGGAAATATATATTTTCATCCTTTTCCAAATGTAATTTTTTGTATCATCACTGCTTCTGTATATGTTTAGAAAACGAAAAAGTATTTAAATTAGAAAATTGAGAAAAGAGAGGCAATCCAAATATGTATTGATCGGATTAACAGCAATATATTAAATTAGATATTCAATTAGATATAGAATAGCTTTCAGTCGGACAAGAAAGTCATCACTTTTGTTCAGATTTAGTTCAGCACAATATAATGGCTAAAACAATCCAGTTTACATCTCATTTTTTACTTTCTTTGCGTTGAAACAAAGCTGCAATATATAAATGAAGGTATTTAAACCAGGAAAAAAGCATAATTTTAGAAGCTGGTAAATGGAATAATAAGTACAGCTCTTGCTTTTTAATTTGATTTTAACAGTCTAGACATTTCAATTCATAAGGTGTAGTAAATATATTAAATATGATGATGATGGCTTAAAATCCAAGGCAACTGTACCCTATAAAACATTTGGCTGGTCAATCTGGCATAAGTCTTATTTTTATTTTACTTATTTATTTTTTAATTTTCCATTTTATGAAACCCCCTTCCCCCCGAGCTTGGCAAATCCCTCAAGAGCTAAGTAAGCGTCTTGAAGCTTCCAAATTGTTGAATTCCTCTTTTGAATATATACACAGAGCAATAGATTAACCTACAGCATTTAACTTATTACATAATGTGCTGATTGTTAAATTTATGATAACATAGGGATATACATAAATCCCCACATGCATCCACCATGACACTCAGCATTGTCTGTTGTTGTCAACTCAAGAGCTGCAAATCTTAGAGCTTTTGTACTTTACAGCCTACCTAATCAACACTGTTTTGTTGCATGACACTATTAATTTAATAGTCTAGGCTTATGCCTGTATTGAAGCCCAAATCAACATATAGGTCAGCAATCTTTAATCTCATAAAATGCATTGTCCATGGATTCAATAAACAGCAAGTTATGCAAGGCCAATAACTGACGTGCAAGATTCAAGTCAAGGGAGCCGGGCAGCCAACCGAGACAGCAGCATGGCGGTGGAGCTGCTCCGGTAAATTTTTTATAAAGACTTAAATTGGGCTATATTGCTCTCTTTTCTAGCGGCAATCCTGCTTATAATACCAGGGAGCACTCAGCTGTTCAATCAAGTTCTTTTTGCCTACGGCCGGCGGCTACAGCGATTTCACTTCGGCCTGCAGTTCCTTCCTTTTCCCTCTTTTGGAGCTAGCTAACACAGAGCCCTGACCACCCCCCCTGGATATCCCTGTCCCCAACAGTAATGAGCCCGACAACAATAACGAGCCGACTGGAGACTCGAAGGGTTGAGGCCTAGAAGTTAAAATGGCTGACCTGCATGAGATCCAGTTCTTCCTGGCTTTTGATCGCATCTGCAACCAATTCTGGGCGAAGCTTCGAGATCGGAGACTTATCTCTCCTCCTGATGGCCAAGTCAAAGAATGTCAGGATCTTACCTGAGTTGTAAGTCTGTAGCGCAGATATGTTGCTTACCCCTGCAAATAGACACAGGCCAAGGTGGTCAGGTAAGAATTCACCTGGCCTGTGAGTCTGTGCACGGGGGCTGTGCAGGATAAAATTCCAAGTCGCAGTACAGGCAAGGACACAAACAGCAGTATAGTCAAGGAATAGCCGAAGTCAAAGGATGCCAGAGGTCAGGATCAACGAAGAATAGCCGAAGTCAAGGGATGCCAGAGGTCAGAGAAAACTATGTCAGAAGCCGGTGTCAATAGACAGGAACACTGGAACGGAACACACACAACAGGATCAAAGACTTGATAAAGTTCACAGAGCGAGGCTGTGTTTATGTCAGGCAATTGGGTCAGGCAATTGTCAAGG